AAATAGCATATAGCATTCGGGTTTTTTTGGGTGGGTGGGTGGGTGGGAGGGTTAAATTGGTCTTCTCACAATATTATTACTTTGAATGAACTTGCGGTAGGTGTGTGGAATCAATTTTAAAACTTCTGTAAATTAAAAAAAAAGATCTGTATGATTTAGCGAATACTGCTCCTTGGCAGTTTATTTAAATTAAGTACAGGTAGTCCTTGACTTATAACAGTTTGTTTATTGATCGTTCAAAGTTACAACGGCAGTGAAAAAAGTGAGTTACAATGGTTTTTCATAGTTACAACCATCGCAGCATCTCCATGGTCATGTGATCAAAATTTAAACAATTAGCAACCAACTCATATTTATGATGCTTGCAGTGCCTCAGGGTCATCTGATTACCTTTTCTGACCTTCTGATAAATACAGTAGTGGCCAAAATTGTGGAAACCTTTTGGGAAAAGTGTATTTTTGAGATTTGATGGCTAATAACACCACTTTTTTTTTTGGAGCAGTACCATAAAATTATATATCAATGGAAATATACTGTAATTTAATCAAGAATGTAATGCAACAAAGTTTGTTCAATTATCTGTACTGTAGTCTATGAAAAGTTATAGCCAAATAACCAGAAAAAGGAAACACTACTTGCTTAGGTTGAGATCAGATAGCTTTCCTTTATCTGATTGTAGCCAATGAACATGAGTGTTTAGAGAGCCAATCAGGTGTTATCTTGTTTTGGCAATGAGCCAATCAGATCACAGTAGGATTCAGTTATTGATGTCATTTATTGAAGCTGAGAGGAGGACATTTGCCAGTGTGTTATGTGATCGCTATCAAGTTGGTTGGGGTTTTTTGTGTTCTTTCATTTAGTGAGCTTGTAAAACGTAATAAAATTAAAGTAATGGTGCAAAGAGTTGACTGGTTGCCCAGAAAGTGATGTAAAATAGTATTATTAAGTGAACAAGGCTACAGTTATAAAGACATTAGAAGAAAAATTGGTGGAAACTTAACTAAAGGTGGCATTTCTACTGTACACTTTTCTCAAAAGGTTTCCACAATTTTGGCCACTACTGTAAAGTCAATGGGGAAGACAGATTCACTTAACCATGTTACTAACAACTGCAGTGATTCACTTAATAACTGTGGCAAGAAAAGTCATAATGTGGGCAAAATTCACTTAACTTTCTCGCATAACAACAGAAATTTTGGCCCTCCATTGTCATAATTCGACTACCTGTATTCACTATGTTTATTTGGTCCAAGTGTTATTTCTGCTTCTAATTTTCTGGAATTCTTGGTGATAGTCAAAATAATGCTAATTCCTATACCTTGTAAAAAAATTATTAAAAAGTGAAGAAAGAAAAAATGAACTTGATTTGCTTGTCCTGAGACAACAATTGAGTTGTATTTTACCTAACATGAAATTTGTTTCCTGTATATTTAAGAGGAAGTTAATTCAACAAAAAATATGTTTTTTTGTTACAGCAAGTATAATAATGGTTGGTTACAATTGCTACTGGAGGCGTAGCAAAAGAGTGGTAAGAACTATAACTCATATAGTTTTATCCTGTGCTATTATTGCCTTGGGCTAAAATCAGTAGGATTAATGTAATCCTCTACCATTGCTATGTGCTTAATATGTTCTTGAATATGTCCCTATTATTTGCAATCTGTCAAGATGCCATAAATTGTGGATTTTCTGAGTAAATAGACCCTATACTCGGAAAAACTATGATACATCACTGGAAGGAGGAATTGATAGCTACTACAACAGTTTGTTGATATGTATTTGTTGACATTTGAATTATGTTTTTTGTTTACAAAGGTGCAAATATAGTCAGTTTTTTGGAGTGGTTTTTTTTTTGGTAGTGGAATTTCCTAGTCCTTTTTTAATGAAAACTATGGATTTGAAGTCATGTTTATATGTTTAGTATTTTAATACACTTTTTCTTTTAATTAATTTGGTATAAATGCAAGTTAAAAATTCAGAAGAAAAAAAAATGAATTCTTGAATAAAATACAAGAACTGAACTTTCCCTTCAAGGAAAACTTCAAGGGCCATTGCTTTGAGAAAAACTTAAAACAAACTCAAGATAATAAAGTTTGAAAACTATAAGACTGTAAATTTGTATTCATTCATCCATCCCTCACATTCCTACACTGCCCATCTTGCCTAAGAGATCCTGGGCAGTTTAAAATAAAAAGGGACCATGTTAATTTCAATTGATTCTAGCATGACAGCATTGACATACATTATTTCTATAAGAAATTGTTTACGACATTAAAATTAATTGCCAAAAAATTTCACATTGTTTATGGTAATTTGATAATTAAGACAAGAGAATCTGCAATCTTTAAAGGTTAAGCTTTACAGCCACCACTGGTGGAAAATATTGCAAAATTTTCTTCTCTGATACTAATTAATAACTTCAGGGGTGGTAGGTAGTTAAAGCTATCTGGATGTGAAACTAAGCAGCAATTGCTCTGGTTAGCATGTAGATGGAAGACTATCAGAAATACCAGATCTGTACTGTAGAATATTGAAAAATAGCTCAAAAAGTACTGGTAGCACACTCCTATATTGTTGTCAAAAACCTGAACAGATGTGCCTATGAAATCACTGGGAAATGAGCTCAATTGAAAGCAGATGTTAATTAATTATATTAAAACAATTCTAATTTCACATAAAATACTAGTGACATGTCATTTACTCAAATTTTGAACAGTTCAATTATTTGGGATTTGTTTTTTTACAAATGTGTTTTGAGGTTATCAAGGATTCCTGTAGTCAGTAAATACATGTAAATGCTGAATTAACAGTGTCTACATTTCTTTGTTCAGTATGTGGCAGAACATTCCGTGCTAACATCGGTCTTATTAGCCACCTACAGACACATCGTTGATGGCCCATAACCCACAAGATGTCAAGGTCTTCATCGAAACTGATGGACGAACAACAACAAAATACTTTGAAAGATCTACAAACTATTGCTGATGTAGAAAATTTGTAGATAAATCTTTCATCCTATCTTGAAATATATCACAGGGAATTGGCTTTCTTATTCCTTTATTTATATAAAGATTCATATCTATATTTGGGAATATCAGATTTACATGGATCTTAATTTCTTGCATTTACAGTTGGATCTGAGTTTGTCTTCTGTAGCAATACAGATTAGCGGATACAGCTATTATTTTAACAGCCTTCACCAATATATAGCATTCCGTAATATTATATAATGTTATTTTATATAGTCCTATATAATACTTTTAAAATATTGTTTATCAACAAAATTTAGTCATTATTACAAGAAATCGTCATTCATCACTGGCACTCTATGTTGCTATTATTATACATTTTCTTGAATGTTTATTATTTGTTTTATAATATTCTAAGAAGACTAAAATGATTATGGGGGAAGTGATGATAGTATGAAGTCACTCAAATGAGTGGACTCAAAATTGTTAAGAGTTTATAGTTTATACGTTTCTTTTAGCAAATTGCAATATTATATGCATAGTGCTACTTGTTTAATGTTAGCAATTTGTTTATAGAATTGTGGCAATGTGTATAAAAATAAGACTAATAGATTAATGAATTCATGCATTCAAAAAGTGCATTTCACTTCTTCTTTGGTTTACTCCAGATCTTGGACAAGTTATATCTGCTTTCCCAAGTTTGTTTTGTAATTTATTTTAGCACTTATCTTGAGTAATGCCATAGATATCTGTTTGAGATCAGAGTGATAATTGTGGTAGTCACTCTAAAGAGGTTGACAGCTAAAGGGCACATTAATGATGTTTTTGGACAACTTCTTGAAAATTAATATTTAATATTAAAGATAATTTAATAAATATAATTTAATTAAGGGTGGCAAAGAATCCTCATATTGAACTAGATGTTTGCATTCCTCTAGATCAGGGGTCTTCAAACTTGGCCCTTTTATGACTTGTGGACTTCAACTCCCAGAATTCCTCAGCCAGGCACGCTGGCTGAGGAATTCTGGGAGCTGAAGTCCACAAGTCATAAAAGGGCCAAGTCTGAAGACCCCTGATCTAGATCTTTTCTGTTTCATCCCATTGTTGGTCTCAGCAGGTGGCAGCTCAGGGCTGAACTTATCTGACCTTGGAAATTTAAAGGTGAATGCTTAAAGAGAGGACTTTCAGGGAATCTCCCAAAGTGCAGGCTAGACCTGACAGGTGAAAAAGGTCCTAAAGGCAAATGGGTGGTTCCATGAAAATGGATGTAATATGATTCCCGGGAGACCTTCACTTTTTGCTTTGTTTCAACTTTTAGCTGCCAAGCCGCTCACAGTTTGTCCCTGGGTTAATGGCTGGCACAGAGTTTTAGAATCTTTACCATAGGAGGTATTCCAACTTTTGAAGAAGTAAAAATGGAGGCCTGCTTGGAAGTGAGAGAAGGAATGGGACGGCCAAATGTTGTTGGTTTTTTTTTTTGCCTCCCTGAGAACAGAGAACTGTTTTTCACCAATTAACATGATAGAATGTTTTTTTTATTCCCGTTCTAGTCTAGTTTGAATGTGCACTGCAGAACTGAACTATTTAAATAGATTTATCTTCCAAGAAAACCGAAATCCAGTTTCAATCAATAAGGTGTCCTTTTCAAAATGGAATCTGACTTTTTAGCAGGCCTGGAAAAGGCAGCTTCATCATTCTAACTTATGAAGGATAGTTTTTAATTTGTATGACTATATATAGTAATAGTAGTAAAGTTGGAAGGGACCTTGGAGGTCATCTAGTCCAACCCCCTGCTCAGGCAGGAAACCCTACACCATTTTGGACAAATGGCTGTCCAGTCTCTTCTTAAAAACTTCCAGTGTTGGAGCATTTACTGCTTCTGGAGGCAGACTACCCAGCAGTTGATTCATGGCAGCTTCACTAGCCCAAGAGATTAATTCTATATATTGATCTTTTTATTATATTGGAGGCAATTTTAATTTACACAGGACCTGTGCACCTATATTGAAATGATCAATCAACTATTATAAATACATCAAAAACCATACTTTATTTTATGTATAGCAATACAATTTACATATTAAATAACACTATAATAGAATGATTTAATATACTTTTAAACATAACAAAATGGAAATTCTTCAAGTTACAAAAAAGAAAACAAAATCAAAATTAAGAACTTCCCTAAAACCAAATACCACATTTCCCCAATGGGTCAAAGAGATAAACTTATCCAGTGACTGGTTAAGTCTAATTCCTATTGCACACACTGACAATGGAAATTAAAGAAAATCCAGCATCAACAATCACTGTTCCAAAGAAATAACCTGTGTTGAATCATTTTTGGAATGTGATGGCATTTCACTACTTTAGTACACATAAAAGATGTTGCACATATCCACCACAAAAGGAAAGAAATGAAGTTGAAACTAGAAAAAAATTAGCTTTATATGAAAATATAAAATTCTATGATTATATACCATTGATACAAAGTTCCCAGAAGATGCTTATTCAAGCAACAAAATATTTACACTTGTGATGATTTCTGTTATTTCAAAATGAATGAAATGAAAAGGATGGCTAGAGAATGAACACTTAGTTCTTTAGAAACAATGGCTGCTTGCTAGTTTCAAAGGTTTAACAGCAACAAAAAAAGTCACCACCCCAAATGTTGGAGAGTTGTGACATTTTATAAAATTGATTATCTCCTCTTCTGGAGACGTGTTTATTCTTAAAACTCAAGACGTTTTTTCTTGAAATTAATTATCCTCTGTAGAAAAGGGTTCCATTTCAAATATCTAACAAAAATACTAAAAACAGTCAAATAGCTAAAACTATAATGTCTGAGGCCAAGTACTTTCACTGTGGTTTGTCTGTCTTTGTCCCCCTGTTTGTATGCCTGCCCTACAGATGGGTGTAGCTGGTATTGTTTAAAATGGCAACCAAAAGAGAAAGCTCAAACGATGCACGAGCCAGAGTAGAGAATTAAACCTGTAACAAAAAAGAAATGCATTTCCAGTTGATATAAAATTCACTGTCATGAACATCGATAATGGGAATGGGTAGCAGAAGAAAATAAATTTTGAAAGCATGGCTGCTAAGCCATTCATTTTGTAACATTTCCTGTTTTTTTCTCTCCTAGAATTGGACTATTATTTTCGCTAGGAATTTGTATTAAGCTTCTTTGGTAAAACTAATAGCTCTATTTTAAAAGAGAATAGCACTTTATAAGAAAACGGGCATTTATAACAAATCATTGTGCTGTGTCATGAAAAAGAAAAGGGAAAATAGTTTGGTACTTTCCAATAAGTCTTCTTCAGCTTAAAGAAATTGAGAAGCATTAGGAAGCAAGATTTGCTCTTCTCATTATAATCCCAATTAGAATAGATTTGAATACATTCTCTTCCTTGTATATAGGCATGAATATATACATTAGAGTGGTTGCATTTATATTCTGAACTGATTAAGAATAAAAAAGCATGATGAATGATTGATGAATTAATACAAAGGACTACTAATATTAGCTGGATTCAACAATACAAAATAAAACATATATTTGAGATAGACTGTACACAGCGAATGAGCTCAGATATTTCAATATACTGGAATTTTGTAAAGAATCCAAGACCTTGGGGTGAGCATCCAAATGCATAAAAAGGTCATGTATTTGAGAATATCCATGTTATAACTATGCTTTCTTAATTCCAGATAAAGCACTCAGGATTACAAATTAATCAACATTTAGAACTCATTTCATCCACAAATGTATAGAACTTGACTCTAGCAGGAAGGATGAGTGACAATATCTCATAAGAATTGTGAGGCTACTTATTTGTTCGTTTACAATTATAGCTTATATCAATTAGCAGTTCTACAATAATCTTTTTATAAACAGGTACAAGATCTATCCTGAAGAGCAAGGCAGAATATAATTGTAACATGAACAGTAAAGGACTAAACCCTGTTAAACATTTATCTGGGAGAAGCCACAAAATCCAGATGTTAGTTGTGCTTAAAGTAAATTGAACCTAGTGGGAGTCAAATTTTGATCAACCTGCTCCATTGATTCCAATTATTAATTATGCGAATGTATATTTTTGTCACATAAATGCCTAATAACAAGCATATGTAACTGGCACCGAAGAGAGATGAGATGGTAGCGGTTGTTTTTACTATACACTCTTCCATAATTCTAAAAAAAAAAAAAAAAAAAAAAGATTTCCCAAACTCCCATTTTAATGGTTGTTCTGACATTTGCAGAATAACTTTCCATATCCCTTCATGGTTCTGAGCCTGCTCAGGCTTTTATGCTGCTATTTGCATAACAAAAATATAAATGTTAATTGAATTAGGCACTCACTATTTTTCTTCTATTACTGCTCCAGTTCTTTTTTGGGAGTTTATGTTACTGTCTTTTAAAACAAAATGAGAAATGTAACCCCAGTAGTGCAGTTTTTCATATCACAGTGAAATTATTTTGTGGAGTTCATTCTTACATTTAATCTTGAACAGCACCTCTTTCCCCTGAATCTTTCTCTATTATTGTTAATCTCTTTGCCTGCAACATTAAGCTTAACGATCAAGAAAATGAATGAATATTAAGTGGAAGGTTATTACATGTTAAATGGAGGCACACACCTATGGAATAGATTCTGCATGAGAACCAAACACTCAGTTCAAATGATATTTGCTTTGGACTTCTGGGGAAGCAATAGCAGACTGAAGGCAGCTCCATGGAGAGTAGAGCTGGCAGAAAGAGAAGTTGATGAATGGATTGGCTCCTCAGAATTTCTCTCTGGAGCAAGGAGAGGCCAGGATTGCCCACAAGTATTCCATACAGTGACTCCCTCCTGACACCATAAGCCAGCAGTTTCAGGTGTATTTTAGTACTCTAGGAGCTGGGAGAAAGTCAATTTGCTTATGCCATGGTTCAGTGCCTTTAAATGGATACTGGGTTTGCAGGACTAGAAGACCTCCAAGGTCCCTTCCAACTTGTTATTTAGTTACTTCCTCTCTTAAATGCTTTAAAATTGTTTATTAATGGCTTTTTTGATGTTAAGAACCTTCACAAGGCAAGTTTCATTATACTGGGTGAGTTTCTTTATCCTTCATGAATGACGTTACAGTTAAGGACTTTGCAATGAATTTCTTTTTTATTTTTGAATAAATAGCAAAAGGTGATTACTGTATAATATTTATTTTAGAAAGTTATAAGATTAAAGGACTTGAAATAATTTCCCGTAGATTGTTTAAAATTTTATAGAAATGTATATGAAGAGTTTGAAACTAACTCTAAGGAATTCTATTGTGGGGAAATGTTACTGATTAAGAAAAAAAAACCAACACATGATAAGAGGGGACTTTCGAAGTTGACTAGAGGGAGCCAGAGAGAATTAAAGATTACAATGAAAGGAGAAAAGACCTATTAAAAAATGGAGCAATATTATTTGAATGTAGGATTCAAGGATATTTGGGAACAATGCGCTCAGAAATTACTCTTAAGATTGTCTATTATGAAAATGGATTTTAAAGGGGCTATAGAAGAGGAACAGATTTTACTGGATAAAATGGAGATTGAGAGCTGATTTGAATGTGCATCTGAAAGTGGATTTAAAAATGCCAAACTGCAAGAATAATATGGAAAAAGATGCCACACTGAATTTACAAATGAAACTGGCTGATGAGGGTACATATAATTAAATCAGAAGAGTGACTTGGTTAGCTTTCTTATCTTGGATTTACAAAACAGACAAGTTATACTAATGTAGGAGTTTCTGAGGAGACAAAGAGGAAATGATAGATCAATTGGAGGGACATCATTTGAAGGGATTAAAAATCAAGATTTTAAAAAATAAACAAAAGTAATATAAGATTTATTTGATCAAGTTTAAACTATATACATTGTTTCAGGTTAATGGATTTTTTTTTTTTTGACTAGGACCAAATGACAAAGCTTTAAAGATTTGTTGACAGAGAACAGATAAGAGATGAAAAAATATTTCTTTTGTTATATTTTTAGAGAAAATGCTAAGTTACTGTGTTAAAAGACTATAAAGTTGACTTATTTGATTAAAAAGGTAAAGGAGACCTTGTGGATTTTACTCCACTAATCATTGCCGACTGTAAGGGGGTGGTGCTCATTTCTGTTTCAAGGCCATTGACCCAGCGTTGTCCGAAGACATTTCCATGGTCATGTGGCCAGCATGATGTCACGGAGCACTGTTACTTATTTGATTAAGGTTAAAATATAAATTTTATTTATCCCTGGCAGTTCTTAATTGGATTTTGCTGATTGGGACTGAATGACAAGATTTGATAATTTGTCTTTTCTTAAGAGATGAGATGGGGGAAGAGGAGAGCCTTTACTGAAATATCAGAGCATAAATTACTGTCTGTTTTGTAAATCCAAGATAAGAAAGCTAACCAAGTCACTCTTCTGATTTAGTTATATGTACTCTGTACTTGTACAGAGAGAGAGGAGATTCATTTCTTTATGTATCCTTTTTAATTTTTTTACTCTATTTTTTCTTCGCGCCTTTTATTTTCTATGTTCTTACTTTGCATTGTTTTTGCATTTGTAAATTTTAATAACAATTATTATAAAAACCGCAAATGGCATTGACTTTGAAAACCATCTTGCTTCAGTAGAGACTGATCTCATTTAAGCTTACGATCCACATTCAGATTTACAGTTAGGAAATAGTGGCTTAAGTGTAGTGAAGCTGGCTTATGAGCTCGTTCATTCCTTTTCCATCAAAATCAAACATTCAACTGAAAATGGAAAAAGAAAGCAGATGTATGTTTTTTTACCTGTTAAACCAATATTTTTTGACACATAATTTGGGTGGGAAACAATTAAAATTGTGATTGTGTTTAAATGGTTGCAATTTTCTGAACAATGTTCATTGATAGCAGTTGAAATGCAGTCGTTGATGTGCAGTGTGCCTCTAGTCCTAATAGATGTAATACAAATTTTATTTTATTATTTATAAAATGTATTGCCCACCCATCTTACCATATGATTACTCTGGGGGCCTACAATTATATCTTAGTTAAACAAAAAAGTTAAACCTTAAAACCAAAGACACATGAGGAGGGCAGGAATGAAGTGGGAGGGAGGGAGGATCTGTTATTACTCAATCAACCACCTCCATTGCGCTGATCCCTTCCTGGGGCCCCAAGCTGACCGGCCCAGCCACATCTTTAGGCCCTTACAAAAAGATAGGAGGGCTGCGGCATAAAATGGCATATAAAAGTATTAGGATAAAGTACAATTTGTGAAAATGCAGTAGATGAACTGAGACTGTGTGTGGCTTCTTAGTTGAAAAGATTGGAGCCATCAAAAGGCTTTTACTGTGATATGTGTATGGTTCTTGTAATTCATTTACCTCTGTATCAAAGAAAGGTTCACAATGGAATTTAGCAAATTTTGAGCATTTTCTTTAATCCCACATTAATAATTTGAATAGCAAATTTAAATGGACAGCAATACATGTCACTTATTTTTATGATTGCAATTATATGCCATAATGTTAGTGTAGCTCTCACTCTGCTGGATATTTTCCCTGTTTTATTAAATCTTTCCATTTTAAAAATACATTTAAGGACAAGATATTTTAAGAAATAGTTTTGTTTTTATACATATAGTATTTAGATTTGAGAATATTACTGTGTATGTGTGTGTGTGTATATCTATGACAGTAGCAACAACTTAATTAAGAATTAAGGTTATCCAGTTCCTTGAGATTTAGTTGTGAAATATTTAAAAAATGGCGATAATTGATGTAAAACTGACTTGTTCATTATTAGAATCCTTAAAAAGGGGATTAAGTCTGCTTTCAATGGATATAAAGTCACAAAACACTATTTTATCAATGAGTGATGGGCATTTATATCTGCTAAGAATGCGTGCATTTTATTTTTAATAAATAGTTAATATTCTAATTATATTTATTTACGTTAACTAACATTTTTCAAAGTAATAGTTTTATTCTGCAAATATGTATTGATATGCCACCTTATACTGCAATAACTAGAAGAGCAAGGACTGCATAACAGATCCTATGTTGTAATTTTTGTAGCAGTGGTTGGAGCTCTTTAATGCAATTAAAACTGGACTGACTATGTTCTGGAAGATGAAAATTACAGAATTTTCAGTATGCTTTAGAGGAGCTATTCAAAGTATGTTTTTTTTAAGAAGAAATGAAGGTACAGGATATGCAATGATCTTGTTCTTACTGAGTTAATAAACCTATGTTTGGAATATACCATTTTAGAATTGGAATTCATACAATAGGGCAAATAATAACTATATGCCAGCCAAATACCTAGGAAAATGCTAAGTTATAACTGATTCTGTGATTCCTTCCATGGTCTAGGAACATTTGCCTTAAATGGAAGAATATCTGACAACCCATTTCTGTCCAGTTCTGTAGAGTCCAGTTTTTAATCTACTTTTACAAATTATAGTAAATTTTTGTTTTGACTAATTCTGGATTATTTTTCTATGGAAGTGCAGCCACTCCTACATTGACAGCTCAAGAGAGAACATTTAGATGAGGCAACTTCACTTTGGTTTGTTACAATCCACCATTTCATACCTTGTTACTTTCATATGCTAGCACATTATTTTATCTAGTTTGAATTGGAAACAAAGATAAATAAACTCCACTCATTCAGAGAACACGCAAACTGTTTTTTGATTGAGCTAGTCCAGACAGCCATTGGGTGGAATCTAATGGCTTTCCTGAAAACATCTACTTGTCTGTTTTCTGATGTTTGAGGAACTCTCAGGAGTAGCTATCAAAAGCGCAAAAGAGGATTTCTTTAGCTATTGAAACTAATGCTGTCATCTCTTACTGAGTTACTCTACATCTTCAGCTTATATAAAAAGATTGTATTTCACTAGAAGCTAGTTCAATTCTCATTTGTACAATGTAAAAACATAGGAAAACAGTACTGATAAAGATCAAAGGCTATCTCTTCCACCAGTACCAATGTCACATCTGGAAGCAGAATATAAGCAAAAATAGTATTGTCCCCATCATTTCCCCCAGTAATTGAAACTGAGAAGCCTATTGCCTCTGATACTGGAGATAATATCTAGCCTTCATACTGAGTAGCCATTGATTCTCCATGAATTTGTCTCATAAAAGCCTTGTAAGGGGACCATATATTCAACTGAGCTTCACAAATGGTTTGGAAAGCGCAACTTTTTAAAGTAATTTGGAATAAAAAATTAAATATTAAAGATAATGAGTAGAGGTTCTTTTAAGGGAGCGAAACATTAAGGTTGTAATCCTATATACATTGATTCAGTGTAATTTACTTTTGAGTAGACATAGGATTATTTTGTAGAATAATATGTATAGTATCGAAAAATGAAATTATGAAATTGGGAAGTACATACTAATGAACTGTGTTAAAAAAAGAGGAAGAATGTAATCTTATAGGTAGTTTTTTTATTAGATCGCTTCACCAGTAATATGGATCAGTACGTTTTAGCACTAGAGTATGAAAATTACACACCTGTAAAAACGGCATCTAACAGCTATCAAATTAAGAAATTCTTTTCTCCATCATATAACATACTGTAAAGACAGAGGTTCTGTTCCAGAAACTTAAGGAACTATACATGTAAATGTGAATAGTGTATGAATTGGAAATATTGCTAAATACTTTTGGAATAAAATGACCTGATTGAACATTGTTGCACTGTAATTAAATTATCCGTAGTGGAAATATGATCAAAATATTTTCTTGAAATGAGAATGCGATTAAAAATGCTTGGAAATTAATGGAAGTATAAATTCGAGATCTGAAATTGAATCACAAGTCTGAGTTGCTTTGCATTTTGGAAATATAATTTTATGTGTTTCATAGAAAACACTCCATTGAACTTTGTAAAGTCAAAAGAGGAATTCCAGACAATGCAGAGCAGCTGTTCAACTGAATTTCAACAGCTTTCCAAAATTTATCTAGCGATCACTAGTTTGCGAGAGAAAATGAAGAACACTACTCATCCATGTTACTGGAAAACAAAAGAATTATAACAGTACGCAAATTAAACAATGAATATTGGAATAGGTCAAGGATACAGCATTTTTTTTATGTAAATCAAAACTATTTCTCTGGCCTCGCATCCAAGATTGTAAAGCCAAGGCTTATGAGAATTAATTAAACATCATGATATTTCAACTAATAAGTAGTGTGTCGTCATGGAATGTCATCAAGATTTGTTTTCTTTTGTATTATATCTCTATAGGCAGTTAACACTGATCATATAGTGCAAACTAGATAAAATTGTGTTTCACTGTGTGAAATAAACAGAGGTGCAAATGCTCAGTAGGATACCATTAAGACGTAAAATGGCAAAAATAAATATCAAAACTTTTTATCAGTGTAAAAAAGTAATTGGGTTATTGTATAACCTAGAGTCTGGCAAAAAAGGCCTCAAAAAGTTCAGTCTTCAGAAATTCCACAAATTAAGTGCCTTTAAGTATTCCTTTTAGACAAGAGATTCCATACTTTCTGCAGGATCTGATTCTTCACTGGCCATAACAACACCATTTTTGTCCATTGCCATGGCGCCATTTCCATTTTCTTTAGTGCTGATCAGGCTTAGCATTGCTTTGTAAAGGAATTGGTACTGCTCCTGCAACAAAAGGATCAAAAGGCGTTAAACTACCTAAGATTTAAGCAAGCAGAATGTTTTATTTATTTATTAAATTTTTATGCCACCCATCTTATTGACACAGCAACTCTGGATTATAATATAATAAAAAAGGTAATACAAGACAGATAAAATTGGAAGAATTAAATAGGAAAGCTAAAATCCAAGACAATGGGCAACTTGGGGGAGGGGGGTTCTTTTCTACCCTGTCAGCTACCTCCAATGTACATGCCCCATTGGGGCTCCAGGCCAAGTGGCGGAACAAAGTTTTCAGGTTCTTCTGGATGGCCAGGAATATGGGGGCAGACCTCTATTCCAATGGGAGAATATTCCAGAGGGTTCTCTGAAAATTCTCCTAGATCTCACCAACCAACATGATTTGGCAGATGGGATCCAAAATAGGCCTCTCTCACTGGAATGAATGAAATGGGCTATTCCTGTCAGGATGAGATGGCTGCTCAGATACCCTGTGCCTTTCCCATAAAGGTTTTTAAAGATATAGGTAGTCCTTGACTTACAACCACAACTGGGCCCAAAATTTCTGATGCTAAATGAAACAGTTCGTAAGTGAATTTCACCCTTTTTTGCCACAGTTGTTAAGTGAATCACTGTAGTTATTAAGTCAGTAACATGGTTGTTAAGTGAATCTGGCTTCCCCATTGACTTTGCTTGTCAGAAGGTCGCAAAAGGGGATCACATGACCCCGGGACACTGCAACCGTCACAAATATGAGTCAGTTGCTAAGCTGACTGAATTTTAATCATGTGACCATCAGGATGCTGCAATGGTTTTAAGTATGCAGTATGGTCATAGGTAACTTTTTTTCCAGTGCTGTTGTAACTTCAAACGGTCACTAAATGAACTGTTGAAAGTTGAGGGCTACCTGTAATGATCAACTAAATTGGAACCAGAAGCAAACAGGCAACCAAATGCAGTTTGTATAACAGCGGTGTCACATGTGCCAGCTGAGGGATCAGTAGGACTGTCCATCCTGCTATCTTCTATTTTATGTCCAGATTGGATTTTCCAGAGTGATTCAGTTTTGCCTGTTAAGATTCCAGTTGGAGTTCAAAGAGGTTTTCTTTTTTCTTTTTTTTAATTCTTTACACAACTCAGCAAGTTTTACATTATGGCATAACTTTCACTTTCCAAAATAGTGCAACAGTTCATCTTTCATTTTTTTAAAAATAATTTCTGTAAAACTATATTGTAACCCCTCCCCAAAAGAAAGCATCACAATTTTCTTCAATGTGTTTCCATTTACTTTCAATCATTAATGAGGGCATGTATAAATGATCTTGTCTGGCCATCAAATTGCTTGTTTACATGCAGGAAATTTCCAATAAAAAGCCTCTGCAGTATAATATGAAAGCGAGGGCAAGTTCGCCCTACAGTGTCCCTAAAAGTTATGCATATTGCTGAAGAACAGCTCTTAGGATCGAATCCAATGATCTTACTCTACAAGATAGAAAAGAACAAGTGGAAACGAACAAGAACTTAGGATTGTGCACAAAACCTATGCAAGGATTTCAACTGTTTGTCTTTTTTGTTGAATGGTTTCTTTGTAAAACCACAACTATCTTTCCCAGTTCCAAACTTACAATGTCTGTAAATACTCCAGGCCTCATCAGATTGATCATTTTTGCCACCTGGAAAACATCAACAGCATTTTCATTTTCCAGTTGCTGAGACAGGGTAGTCAGAGCACATAATGTTCCAGCTGCCACTGCTCCATACCTGAAAACCCAAAGAATAATTTTATTCCCTATAAGAAATCCAGGAGAATCTTGTATGTCTCTATGCCGGCTTTAATTTCTCTTGAATTTCCCCCTGAGTTTTTGTCAAGCATTTATTCTCGGAGGAATAAAACAAGGGAAGATGAGGATGGGTGCACATATGGAAAAATATATTTTCTGCTACATTTCCTCAGAATGCAATTAAAAGCTGAACTTATACCTTAAAACATGAAAATAAAATTCAGCGAACATAACAAATACTAGAATGGATTTACCAAAGAGATAATCTTGCAGGGTTAAAAGCAAGCTTGATTTTTTTTGTCTGCTCAAATCAATAATTAGATTAATTTTGAAACAATTTTTAACATGGCAAGTTCAGCAAAATGACTACAAGCCAGATGAACATTAAAACTAGCCATGGGGTAATACAAGTCGGCAAAAATATCTATTTAATATTATACCTTTGTAATGTACAATAGCAACATTTAAAAACCCTTCTTCTCTATTCATATTATCACCATTCAATAAAAATATTGGATACAGCAGAAAAAAATATTTATGAAACTTTAAACACAATTGTAATATTCCTAGAGGAGTCAATAATACCTTTTACCTCCCTCCTCGATCAGTGATGGCGAACCTTTTAGAGACCGAGTGCCCAAAAACCGCCCCCCCACCCTCGTTCCACCTCCCACCCTGCAGCACATGGCAGCCACACCCTCCACCCAGACCCCGCAGCATCATCTGCATGCTATGGGGTGCGAGGGCAGAATCATGTCCCTGCTGCCCAGTTATGTCCTTGGCTGCGTTACTCCGTGTGGGCCGCACCTGGGGGTGATTCTCCTCCAGGGAGGCTACTGGTGAGGAGGGGCCTTGGGGAGGCGGGGCTGGGGCGACAGCACGCGTGCCCACAGAGAGGGCTCCGAGTGCCACCTCTGGCACACATGCCATAGGTTCGCTACCTCTGTCCTAGATGAATGTTCACAAAATTTTACATTTCTTATACCTTTTCCAATCTTTATAAAAAAATATTTTAGTGAATATACATACTCATCATGAATGATGGTTGGGCCATCTCTTGTTAAGGCCTCTTCCTTGATTATATTGATAAGTTCAAAGGTACTGCTGATTGGGGCATCCGGATTTGGCCATTTGGGGCACTGAAAGTGGCGAACTTCCAAAACATAATCATCCTGAAATAAAAATCAGCCCAACTATTGACCATTTTAATTCCATTTCTAGATTTGAAGTAACTAAAATTTATATCTTTAGCCCCTACAGTGTATACATTTTTCAATAATTATTTTTGAAGGAGATGCTAAGATGACAACCAATTAGTGATTCCTTTTACAAGCTTCTGCTATAGACCAGCCTTATTTCCCCTGGTTCAGTCTCTCCCTCCCCACTTTCAATATCCGGGGGGGGGGGGGAGAAGGAAGGAAAGGAGAGAACCCAGATAAGCCTTAGTAATAATATTGGGCTTTAAAACTCCAGTAAGGTAGAGAAGCAATGAGAATCAACTCCCATTTCCTCAATGGAGAACATATACTTTCAGTACCCTGTCTTAAGTAGGGGAGCACAGAAGATAACTTCTCCCATAGGAATCTCCTGGATCCTTTACAACCACATTACTTAACAGTAATCCTTTGATAGAGGAAGAATTATTTATCTCTCCAAGAAATCAGAAATGAATTCATTTATGATTCTAAAGAGTGTCTTCCCCAATATTACTAGAAAGAAAAAGGTGATTCTTAGTAGCACCTAACGGTTGGTATAACCTCTCTTTGCTCAGTTTTGGGGAGTCTCTACTCCAGATGCAATAGTGATATCTCTGAGGCTGCTCCATACCCTGTTTTCTAAAATTTAGGTGACATTTCTGCATCAATAAATTTCTCTTATGGATGTTGCATGTCATTAAATCTACTGTATGCTGAATCCAAATATAATACTTAAACAATTAGGATGGTTAGATAACATACTGCATATTTATTACGTGTGAAAATCCAGATGCAATTATTCATTACACCATGGTAAGAAACACCCAAGGTAAATCTTACTATCAACTAACAAAATAAGGAACAATGTTATGTTTCAATTATTTAAAAATAAAATAAAGGAGAATATTTGTAGCTCAAGGTGGAAATGAGGGGGTCATTGGTGCTCTCTGAGCTTGGTTGTTTTCTTGCAGATGTTTCATTGTTCAAACTAGATAACTGCACTGATGATGTTACCTAGTTTGGGTAATGAAACATCAAGAAAAAAACAAGCTCAGGGAGCACCATTAAAAATAGAAAAATGACATAGAAATGGCATGTGATTATATATCAGTCCAAATGTCAGATAATCACTCAGCCAAACACCCATACGTATAGGACATCCTGGCACTTTGCTGCAGAGCATAACAAAACATATTAAATATTTTTGGAACAACAGCCTAGCTTTTCTGAAACTTCAGTTTCAATATGAGCTTAGTTTCTTGTATAGAAAGTATTACATAAATGTCCCCCATTTGTGATTTGAGACGACTGAACGGCTAATAATTAGAAGTAATTTCTTCACTATAGCATATATCCCAAAATTGCATCTGGAATGTGGAAAACATTTTAGTAAATCTAAATTTACTAAGGAGGAATATTAATCTTTGAACCAAACCTGACTGTTACTCTATGTCAATTCCATGTAGGACGAATTACAGCCTGAATAAGCTGCTCTCAACAGAATCTGGGAGAAAGCTAGTGAGTATATGTCATAAAATTTCTAAAGGAAAATAATGAGCTTTAAAAATGGCTTTTGTTTTTTTTTTTTTAAAAAAAATAATTGGGACCTCAAACCCACTGTGTTTTTGTTTGAGAAGTCATTCCATGCTTAGTTCTATAAAAGCTTAAGTATTATAGCTTTCTATGGAAATGGTATTCTGCAAGCAAAATTGGGATACTCTAGAAACAATCTCTGAGAAGGAAGGAAATGATATTAAGACCAAAGACAGACATTGTCCGTATCCCATTGCAAATCATTCAACTCAAATATTAACCAACAACAACAGGAGTTTGAATGGCAAGCAGACTTCAGATTCACCTCTGGAAGATATTTTATATACCTGAGTAGCCTCAAGGATAAAGTCATGGATGATGATCTGTTCTTCATTAGAGAGGCACAGCTGGTCCTTGCTGATAAGGGTGACGGTAAATGCCTCGCAGTTCATGGATTCTTCCCGACTTGGCCAGTATACAAACTCATCTTCTGCCTGAAGACAGTTGAATCAAACGGAAAACACTGGAATATATTTCTTTAATCTTTAAATAGGCAGAATTCACCAGGTCAAAACTTCATTTAAATAGGCAAGATCTCAAACTAATTTTATGCAAAATTCTTCTCTTGGAAAAAAAAAAAAGAGAGAATACTGCCAGTATACTCTGTTCTTCATCACAGCAAACCTTAACCTTTATTTGGTTTCATGGGGAGATGCTTATTTTACAACATTGATATGATCCACGTTTAAATGGATAAATTTTTCCCAGTAGTAACAGTTATATAATTATGTACTGTTCCATTATGCCATGCTGCGGGCATTGTTATAAATACAAAGATTATCTTATTTATTTTCTACCTATAAAGTCATTTAGGTGTTGATTCAAAAATTTAAGATTTTTTAAAACACTTATTTTCACCTAAAACGTTAGTAAATAATCTTTTTTACTGCTTGATATATAGGGTTCTTTTTGCTATACTGTTGCTGGCAGATGTACAAATTTTCCTGTCCTTGGCTATTTTTCCCCCCTGGTGCTCCCAAACTTCTTTGCATAACCTGAATAACAAAATTGTATTCTCTGGCTATAATTTTTATTGAAATAGAGGAGAAGCGGGTAAATAATCTGGTTGTTTCTTATTGTGCTACCATACGAATATGCAGTATATGAAATGAAATAACTTACTAAACTCTGGTTATCTGGAAGCATGACAATGATCTGTGCATTGTGATCCCAGATCATTCTCCAGAAGTCTTTAGTTGTATGTGGCAGGGGATGCTGTGTTATGATAAACTCATTGCTCCGATAGTAGCCCTTTAAAAGAAACAAACAGTAATTTTTCATAAATGGAATAGTTTGGAAACCTTAAATGCCTTGGGTGAAGACAAAAATAATTTAAATTGCTAAATTTTAATGACAATTTACTGGTTAATTTATCCAAATAACAATACTGAAGAACATTATATACTATCTTAGTTGTGTTTTTTGTTTTGTTTTTTTCAGAATACATACTAACATGATCAACTGTGCTTTATAGAAATAAGTAAACTATTGTTTTCAAATAATATGAGCAAATCACTTTTTGACTGAATGTCATTTAGATTCCTGCAGTAGAATTCATTGCTTATGTATCACTTGGTTTTCAATGCTGCTTCAATTTAACAATTCTAAGCAGCTTAAAAAGCAACAGACACATGATGAGCAATAAGGCAAAATATACTATTGGTGAACATATTAGCCTAGATACCTGGCATAGTTTATTGTTCTTGAGCATACAACCAATTCCTCCTACAGAGTGAACATAACTTTTTAATTACTGTTCAGCCCCTTCTTTCCAAGGGGGCGTGGAACAGACTGTGCCTTAATTTTTAATTTATGCAAACTATTTTTTTAAATTGTATGCAGAATCTATAGTGCTCAATACAGTTCTGTTATTAAGCAAAGGAAACATAATTTTTACTGGAGTACAAGACAGAACAATCTATAGAGACAGAAGAATTTAATATTTGGATGTTTTCTCTGAATTTATTTAAACATTAATGATTATTATCTTACCATAATGTACGAGGCATTAATGTAATCAGTTCCCTTCATGCCAGGTAATGGTGCTAGTCCTACCCTTGCTCGCTCAGCTGCAGCATTAAACAAATAAATTATGTGTCAAATAGATCATAAACATCATGGTAGGATTATTTTAACAAAATACAGTTTTCCCAGGATCTCATTTAGATGATAAAATAACACCGATTAAATTGATGCAAAATTCACATGAAAACTTAATTTCCGAAATAAAATGTTGCTTGTGCTCTGTTCTATTGGCAAAACCACCCAATGAAAACTAACTAACTCCATGAACCTTACTGAGAACAGGGATTTTCAAACTCTTTCAGGCTGTGGAATCAATTAAAAAAAAATTCCAGACTCTCTGTTTCCTGCCTCATAGACGTACACATACAGTGTTATCATCAGCACAAACAACCCCACCTTTTTCACTGTACCTCCAAAAAAAAAAAAAAAAAACCACTTGTTAGGGGTGCCCTGTCCATGTTCAATTGAACTTTTTTGCCCTGGAAAGAGTTTTCAGGAAACTGTATGTAGACCAACTCTGGAAGACTGCACCTGTTTACTAGAATGCGTTGACAATTTATGAAAATCAATAGCCGTTCTTTACTTTATGCAAGGACCAGTGTAACTGAATTATATGCTATAATATAAGCATTCCAGAACTATTATATTTTGGTTTAAAAACAAAAGTATTTGGTACAAGCTAACTTTTAATCAGACATCTCAAATTCAAGTATTGGTGTTTGGTCTGTATGCAGGTTTGTCAACCTTGACTCTGGAATATAAAGCAATTGAATCCATTCCCTGTCTCACTTAATGCAAATATACTTTAGTGGAATGAATTTATGCAGGGCAAGAATCAAATTCAAAGATGAGATCTTACATGGCACTACTGATGAGTTTCTGTTCTTCTCTTTGTTGCAATCTTTTTGGGCACTAAAGCATTCTATATATTTTGCATTGCATTGCATAATCAGCTGCAAAATTTAAACAGAAAAGAAACAAGATTATTTTTTGACAGTCTTTTAAAAATACAAATCTGCACATACTTTTCTATTTCTGAAAAAAAAGAATCCTGCTTAGAAAACCAAAATGTATTATCACTGTTAAAAGAATTCAGAATGCTAAAAACAATCAACCACCCTGTATTAAAAATTCTTTATACAAATATTTATTGGTTCTTGCGTGTATAATTCTCATTTTTAAATAAATGAAATTCTATTTCACCTTAGTTTGACAAGTTCAGTTTAACTTTTCTTAAAGATATAAGGTGAAAATATGTACAATAAAAAGATGTCCCTAGAAAATAAAACCTTTTATTTTGTAAAACTTTTAAAAAAGCTGTGCTTGATTAATTTTTCCTCCTACTTACTGGGAACCTCAAACACTGCAATTAATATCAACATATTTAGGATACTCAAAAAGGAGAATATTTGTAGCTCAGGGTTGAAATGATCCCCTCCCATCTTATTTAGGATAACTTATTTTGTTTGCCAGATAAATTTTTGTAATTTATCCATTGTGCAAAATGAATAGTTGTGACCAATTTGTGGGACACTTTGCAGATAAAGCCCCTTGCAAATATTCCAGTTTTGATTCCACAGCTGATTGATCCTGATAGATACATTTGTTATTTTCAAATTCTGTGAAGATACAGGAAAGATCATTGGATGAGTGAAATTATATCTATGCCTAAATCTTACCTTGTAGGCAATTTTAGGCAGCCAGTATGCATTGTGAATGAATAATAAATATCTGTTTGACTTCTTCCAAGCTTCAAGGAAGTGACTGTGAAACTCTGTTTTTTAAAAAGTATCTGTATACTTGCAATACTATACAGGTAGACCTCACTTAATGACTGCCCTGTTTAATAATCGTTTGAGTTATGACTGCCTGAAAATGCAACTTCACAGCCTGTGGTCACATAACTGACATTTGAGTACTTTGCAACTGATAGGTATTAATAACTGTTATGGCGTCCCATGGTCATGTGACTGCCATTTGTGAACTTCACAAGCAGTAGTCAATGGAGAAGCTGGCGGTAAAATTACAAGTCGCAATCACATGATGTCTTGCTTAATGACCACATGGGGAGAGACATCAAAAGCATGTCATTGTCATGTGATGCTTCACTCAGAGACAGCATCGCTGAGCGATGGAATTACCAATCCCAGTTATGGTTCCTAAGCAAGGACTATTTATATCATTCATTGGTATGAAGAATGCATGTTGTGTTGCCCCTAGAGCCCCCAAGATGGCAGCAGAAGAGCAAAAGAATGATGTTTATGATGATGTGCCATTTTTGGATAAAATAAGACATTGAATCAATTATGTTAAGTATTTGAGAAGCTTAATGTAACCTATTTTAGTTAAAACAATATCATTGCACAAACAAAGCACATTTCAAAAAAGTCCTGGAATTTCTACCCTATTCCTCCTTGCTATCAGCTTCAGATTCCTGAAAATATATTTTAAAGACTCCTTTTCCTAATACTTACAATCCTCCTTTCATCTTATGCTAGAATAAGCCCCTATCTAGTTTTAACTTTAGACTTAATTCCCTAAGGGAAAAAACCTCATTATGAGGGCATCGCAGAGGGCATTACCGTAGAGCGGATTCTGCAGGGCTGAACCATGACTCAAGGATATTATCAATCCTACCATTTCAATTTTCTTGATTTACTTGAATGACCTAAGTATCAACAATGGTCAGGAAGGGCAGCAATAACAATGGAAACCATTCAAAACTACAATTGATAAATCATGTAGGTATATTGGAGCACGGTGCTTGTGCGGTTAGGACACTGGGTTGGCGGTTAGCAAGCCTATGTTTGAGACCCTAGTGCCACCATGGGGCGGGGTGAACCCCCATCCTTCACTCCAACCCCTGCCGCGGTCATGAAAGGGGTCCCCAATTGGGCATCCCCCAGGCAACAGTGATGTCACCAGCTAATCCTTTCAACCCAGAAATGTCTCGGTGCTTCTGACACAAGTGCGATGAGATGTAGGTTTTGCATCCACGCAGCAAGTGTCAAAGTTTACCTTGAACTGTTTCTCCAGTCGAGTCTTGCCCCCAATGCCAGGTATGAGAATGCTGTTGACATAGCTATGTAGCTGATTGGCAGAAACTTCAGTCTCTTTCCCGAGAATGGCTTCCAACAAGGCATCATGAATGAAAACATACTGCTCCTAAGAGATGCAAAGAGAGATAGGCATGTGTAACTCTGTTCTGAATGGAGTGCAAGTGCTTTTGAGTCATGCAAGGCAGGATATTTGCAACAACCTTGGATCAAATATTACTTACATAGCTTTTCAGTTTCACTGATGGTTCTATTTATGGAGCATTTTTCCTTTTTCCTCCTCTGCTTGTTTATTACGTTTTTTGCAATATCTTAATTTTGTAATATCTGTAACATCTGTTACAGATCTGTAACATTTCTAACATAAATTGCCTCCTTTTCTTAAAATATTTCCCTTGTTTACTTTGATTAAATTAAAATAGTGTTATGAATTCTAAAAAGTGAAATTATGGGATGACTTCTATCAGCTTTTCTTCTCTAACCTTTCTAAAAGGGCTGTGCATTTCAAATAATGCTAATAAAATAGTCTTGGCCATATTTGAAGTTTTGAAATTTGGGGTCTGTACTGCCCCCCCCCCCCCAACTCCAACCCAAATAATTTCTTAAGCACTTAGTTTATTCTGAATTTTACACATTGGTGGTCTTCAAATAATGATCAAAATTGGAATTTGAAATTCTGCTACTAGGCAATGCAATTGTTAAACGAGTTGTGCCTTAATTTATGACCGTGGTTGCCGTGGCTGTTGAATGAATCACTGCAATTAAGGGAATCCCATGATTGTTAAGGGACTCAGGCTTCACCCACTGACTTTGGAAGCTGTCTGGAAAGGCTGCAAATGGTGATCACCTGACCCTGGGATGCTGCAACCATTGTAAATACATGCTGGTTGCCAAGCGCCCAAATTTTGATTTTATGACTGTGATGATATTGCAATGGTCTTAAGTGTAAGAACCAGTCATAAGTCACTTTTTTGAGTGCAGTTGTTGTAAGTCAAGGACTGCCTGTAAATGAAAAATAATCTGTCTAAATATACCCATTCATAAGTATGGATCGTCACATAACTATGTGCTCACTAAGAATCCACATTCACTTGAATCACATAATGATTCTTTATATATGCCTGCAGAACGAACAAATACAGACACAAAAATTTAACCTGCAAATTGTGTTATTTTAGCAGTAACTGCAATAAGCAAACTTCATATAACAAAATGACAATGACAATGAATACATTTCTGATTCTTACCTCCGTCTGGACGAGGTAGTTGCGCTGTGTCCTGATGTGTTTCAGGAAACCCAGGACATTAACTGTGCTTTTGTCTTTTATTTGTTGCAGCATGCTGTCTATTACAATGTAGGTACCAGTCCTGCCAACACCAGCACTAAGCCCCAAACAAAAAGATAAAAAGAAATAAAGCAGTAGGAAAACATAATTAAATATTAAGAAAGAATGCCTTGATGCTAATACTAATTTTCATAACAATCATGGAAGTGCTGTAAGCAATGTTCAGCCTGAGCCTCTTCAAATAGAATAGAATATGGCTTGGGATCCTGGGAATAGTCCCCAAATTGGCATCCTGGAATATGCTTTGGTGATGAAACCAGTTCTCTGGGGAATTTTGACAAAATGGCTTAAGGTATCCTAAGTTTATATCCTTTAGAGATCTCATTGCCACTGCCCCAAATGATACATGTAAATGGTTCTTGTATAATTTGTGGTACTTCAACCAATAAATTTCTCTATGGTGGATTAAATATTTGCTTTGCCAGAAGGACTTCAAGATGTTTCTTTGAAGATAAAAATGTCCTGTGCTTTCTTTCTCTTTCTCTCACGTTCAACTGTCAAGTGCCTCTTTCTTACTTTATCTTTCTTCTCTAAGATCTTTATTTGCATGCTAGCAAAACACTCTTTCATCACAGCCTTCACCTTCACCTTCACAGCATTTGGGGAATCTTCCTATGTCACAGCGCATATTAATGTGCTTCTCAGGGAGGAACTAGCCCTGCATAGGGAATATATGGAAGCTATTTCCCTACTAGTGAAAAAGTCAGGATGATTCAAATCCGCTTTCCAATTGTTCTGTGATTACTGAGTTTCAATTTTAGATCAGATTTTGGAATGTTTACTATTATTTAATTTCAAAGATGACTAGATGGGAAAGCTTAGTTTGCAATCAGTTAGAAATCAATTATAGTTGTGCTGCAACTTCAAAATGAATGATGCTCAGAACCTTGTTCTTTAAATTCTCCCTTTTGATATATCAAACATTTTCACTGCATATCATAATATCCTTTTTGATTCAGAAGAATGAACTTTACCAAATAAAGCATGCAGAAAAAATTATGAGTTCACGTACTGATGATACACCTTTCCAGATGGTTTCTTTTTTTTCAGATTTATAGGAAAAGAATATTCTAAGAATGCTAATATCTACACATTCAGGAAATCCAAGCTCTTTTTGGCAATCAGGATACATTAAGAAGTTTCATGAATGCAATTATACCTCTTTCCCTGACAATGTGTTTTTTGTTTAGCTTTGTGCAGAATAGAATAGAGTAGAGTAGAGTAGAGTAGAGTAGAGTAGAGTAGAATAGAACAGAATTGGAAGGGACCTTGGAGGTCTTCTAAACCAGACCCCTGCTCAAGCAGGAGAACCTATACCATTTCAGACAAGTGACTGTCTAGCCTCTTCTTAAAAACCTCCAGTGATGGAGCACCCACGATTTCTGAAGGCAAGCTGTTCCACTGGTTAATTGTCCTCATTGTCAGAAGTTTCTCCTTAATTCTAGGTTGCTCCTCTCTTTGATCAGTTTCCAACCATTATTTCTTGTCTTGCCTTCTGGTGCTTTGCAGAATAATGTGACCCTCTCCCTGCCTTGTGGCAGCCCTGCAGATACTGGAACACTTTTATCATGTCTTCCCTATTTCTTCTTTTCTTTAGACTATCAAACCCAAGTCCTGCAGCTGTTCTTCATATGTTTTAGTCTCCAGGCCTTGGACCATCGTAGTTGCTCTTCTCTGAATTTTTTCCAAACTCTCAATATCTTTTCTGTACTATGGTGACCAAGGTGTGGTCTTACTAGGGTTTTATAAAGCGGTACTAATGACACAGTGCTTTTTAGTACTGTTTCCAGAATAGTTTACGTTAATAAAAAAAATTAAAAATCCAGAAGCAGATGACAGCGTAAATATGATTGTGACTTAGAATGACACCTTGGTTTAATCCTAGATTCCATGAATAAACTTGGAAAAATAATATTGTGTCTCAGACTCTCTGTAATATGTGTTTTCTGTTACTGTGGTAAATGTAGCTATTTATTTTGGTACCAAATCATTATGTTGCTAAATACATTTAGACACATGGTGATTTGTAAAGATGTCAGCAGTTAAAAGAACAAGTGATGCACATATAGATGCATTGTTGTAAATAATAACCAAACCACCATTGCACCTGTACATTAATCTACACTATGTTGTCAACACGAATGGATTGACAATGTCCAAACATACCTGCAATGTACAATTACTGGACCCATCTCAGCAGTTCTGGCTGCAGAGGATCTTCTTACAAATGTCAGCACAGGAAGCGCATATTCAGGTACTCCCATGTCAGGCCACTGTGTGTAATGGTACTGAATGAGTGTCCTTTCATTTTGACGTCCTTTGGGATTTCCCTTTTGATCCAGAAGTCGTGAAAAATACAAGTAGAAAATATTAATATTAGTTAACATCAAGGTTTCCTTGGGTTCATATTTTTCCTTCTCTATACTGCTGTTTGGCCCTCTCTGGACACCCTAGAGCAGAATAAACTCAGTGGTGCTGAAATTTAAGGATTTTATGTGAAAAAGCCCTGTAAATTCTAATACTATTATCTAACAATTGAGATACAAAATCAAATTTGGGTCGGTCACCGGGACCAGAGATTTACTCTATGCCAGAGCCCGTCTTCAGGGAATTTCTCTACTGGAATACGTGCTCTAAGCCAGAGGTAGGCAACCTTGGCTCTTTTATGACTTGTGGACTTCAACTCCTGAGCCAGCCATACTGAGGGGAAAGGGAGAGGTTTCCAAGCTGAGTCATGCTGGCTCAAGAATTCTGGGAGTTGAAGTCCAGAAGTCATAAAAGAGTCAAGGTTGCCTATCCCTGTTCTAGGCTCTTCTGTGAGTCGTGTTTATGTGGTGGCTTCCTATTAGCTGATTGGTGTGTTGAGGGGCAATTGGCTGCTGTTTCCTTGGATTGCCAAGCCCTTAGCTCCTAAGTATTTGATAAGCTGGTGGCAACTCCTGTTATCTGACAAAGAGTACATCTCTGGTCCGGGTGACTGACCCAATTCAATTTTACATCATTATCCTGGGACACGTATATTTGCCTTCAACTGAGATACACTTTGCCTTACAAAGAAACCTTTGTAATTATTGGACTACCATATCAGTTTATAAGAGGTAGCTTCCAGTAAGTTCTCACAGCCTGACATGAATTGAAAATCGTACCCTCCAAAATGCAGCTGAGTCAGATAAAACTGATCTCTGTCTTTCAGGTTCATAGCTACAGTATATTTCACTTGAATGTAAGGAAGAATAGTAAAAATTGGCCCTCCCAAAGTTCCTCTGTAATCTTTGGCTATAATGATTGGATGGATAGGAAATGTACATAAAACTATTTGGCAATCTTTGTACATTTTTAAAACCTAACAAAACTCACAGACATAATCTTGTTCTTTTGCTTAATTTGCTTATCTTTAATGTTGAGCCCACCCAGAAAACTATTATAGTAATTTATGATGTCTAATATGAATTCCTTGTCAAATTTAAAAAAAAGATATCCACGAACTATTTTCTTTTTCATTTACTTGTAATTTCAATTATTGTACTCAATTTCTTTCATTTATTAAAAATTCTTAACTTCCCAAGCCTTGTCAAATTGTAAAAACAAACAATTTGATTTTCTGCTATGTGCGTTGCATTGTTCTTGGTTTTCTGGTCCTTTCTGCTTTATTGTATACCAGAGGCCCCCAACCTTCTGGGTACCAGGGACCAGTTACGTGGAGAGAGGTTTTTCCGTGGACCGGAGGGGAGCGTGATTTTGTATGCTGCTTGCATCATGCGGATGGGGCTTTGCTTGTTTGTCCGACCGGTTGCTGGCATGTGGCGGCCCAGTACCAGTCCATGGACTGGGGGTTGGGGACCCCTGTTGTACACTATAGAGAGTCTTGAGTTTGCAACAATCTTCAAATACTGTATGTATGTATGAATGAGTCACACTTAGTAGCAACATCCCAAATGGACATTTATTTTTGAACAAACATAATGTAATGATGTTGCTCACTTTTTTCATTTTTGCATTCCTCACTGTGAAGCGGCGGACAGTGTAGCAAGCATGTACTTTTGTGCTCTTCAGTGTGACAATAATATGGCCATATTCCTCACTGTTTTCAGTTGGCCAATACTGGTCACATTTCCTCTGAAGAAAGAAGAATAACATAAAATGTTAAAGTCTGTATGATGCTAGAGAATACTGAATTAAGGAGGATTCAATCTGAGATCTGGCTGCATAAAAGAGCTATTTCTTTTTTTTAGTTGTTCTGGAAAAACTGCTTATTATGTTTTTTTAACCCTTTGTTGAAATTATATTTTTATTGATAGTTATTACATGTAACAATTATTAGGACATTATTTATGAAATATTGTTCATAATATAGATTATCTAATATACTTTTACACAAATTCATCAGTCCTGCTATAATTTAATTTTTGTTAATGTCTTATATTTATATATATATATATATACTGTCATTTGTCAGGCTATAATAATAACAATAACACTAATAATAGAGTTGGAAGAGACCTTGGAGGTTCTAGTCCAACCCCCTGCTCAGGCAGGAAACCCTATATCATTTCGGACAAATGGCTGTCCAGTCTCTTCTTAAAAACTTCCAGTGTTGGAGCATTCACAGCTTCTGGAGGCAGGTTGTTCCACTGATTAATTGTTCTAACTGTCAGGAAATTTCTCCTTAGTTCTAGGTTGCTTCTCTCTTTGATTAGTTTTCATCCATTGCTGGAAATTGTTTATATTGTTTAAATTGTTTTGAGAGAGAGTGAGAGAAAGAGAATGTCTGGAATTTAACTGGAATGTATCAGCTTCAAACTTAGTTCTCTAGGCTTTATTTTTCATGGGCTACAAACATTTTCGAAGTGTTTTTTTATTTCTTTTTCTAACAGCAATACAGTTCAGTCAATGTTAGCTAGTGAACCATCTTTTTTGTCCCATTATTCTTTTAAGACAGAGGTCCCCAACCCCCGGGCCGTGGCCCATTTGGAACTGGCACCACAAGAACTGGTGGGGGAGTGTGTGCATGCACAGCTCCATTTGCAAGAGTGGCGGGCACATGTGCCTACTACTTGCACAAATGGAGTTTCCTGCATCTGGCACTTCCATGGAACCCTCCCCCGCTGGTCTGCCAAGCTGAAAAAGGTTGGGGACTGCTGTTTTAAGACAGCTCTGTCTAATCTCTAAGCTTTAAGCATCTTAAAGTAATATTACCCAACTTTGGATTTTAAATTGTGTGGATAGATGGCTGGTGAATTCTGGGAGTTGAAGTCTACACATTTTAAAATTCCCAAGATTGGGAAACACTGACCTAGAGCAGTGTTTCCCAAACTTGACAATTTTAAGGCATGAGGACTTCAACTCCCAGAATTCCACAGCCAGCAACGCTGGCTATGGAATTGTGGGAGTTGAAGTCCACATGCCTTAAAATTGTCAAGTTTGGGAAACACTGACCTAGAGTATATTCAAGGTTTATAGTGATAGGACGTTGCTAAAGTGGTCTAAACAAATTAAGGAACCCCTAGCAAATGGTGTTAGTTATATTGGTTAAATATTGTATTATGCAGGAAATAAATTACTTTCACATCATGCCTGTTATAGCTTATCTATGAGCAGAAATGAGATCTGCCTCATCTATATTATAAATATAGATTTATAACAACAGCAGCAGCAACAACAACAACAACAATAATAATAATAATAAAGTTGGAAGGAACCTTGGAGGTCTTCTAGTCCAACCCCCTGCTCAGGCAAGAAACCCTAGACCATTTCAGACAAAATTATTATTATAAAATTATTATAAATAAAAAGTATTATTAGAGTTTATGCTACGATGAAACACATTCAACTCTTTAACAAAACTGAAGAAAGATCACACATCTCTGGTGAGAACTAAGAAAAAATATTATGATAATAAATGCAGACTATTCTGCTTACTCTTCCTTTTTCCACAAGATTTGTAATCATGATGATAATTCCAGTGTTTTGCTCCCAAATCATTCTCCAAAAATCTTCAAATGTTGACTTTAAAGGGCCCTGGGTGGCAATGTAAGCTTTCGCTTTGTTGTAACCCTTCAAAGGAAATCACAATAATATGTAAGATAAAAGTATCTGCAATAGCAATCATATTAATAATGTATATATCTCTGGAGCAGAGCTCTTTTCTACTGAACGTTTGAGGAGTTTGGAGTTGAAATTGAAAAATGTAAAGTTCTAATGCATTAAGAGTGTCTGTTTCTTCTGAGGGACAAGATTTCTCAAGAAACCTTAGGAATTAACAAAACAACTTACATCAACATAATTGGCATTAATATAATCGCTGTGCTTTGAATCCTTTCCTGGTAAAGGTCTTAATTTCACTCGACTGTGATCATCTACAGAAAAGAACAAGGAAAACACACATTTAAGAAAGTAAGCCTGATACATTTTTCTTTCTTTTTTTAAAATATATGATTGACTAATGAAAGAACTGAAAAGCCAATTCTCATGTCAGAAAATGTTACAGAGGAACTGGATTGATTTAAAAATAGGTTGTTTGGCAAATAGGGAGTGTTTTCTCAGTTGATGATCAAAGTGTTTTGACTGTTTTATTGGAACACCTGATAATATCAAAGTTATTAATCAATTTAGGGTGCAATGAAATGCCAAAGACAATCAGGTAAATACTTTGGTGAGATCCAATTAAGCTTCTGTTAACAGAAGTCACAGAAAGGGGAAACTTCAGTTCTGGAAAGTTGGAAATTTTCAGAGACAGGCATAAGGAAAACTACTTTTATGAGACTGCATCAGAAATTTGGCAATGCCATCATTCAAAATTGGTATTTATTTCAAATCAAGGCAGGAAAAATGCGTATGTCCCTGGAGACTGGTTTAATGAAGTTAAAAAAATATAATGTGTGCAGGGGAAAGGAATATGTGAGTGTAATTCTACTTACCAGTATTCAATCCTATCCTTTTAATTAATCTCCACTTTATTAAAGACTTTCTGGAAAGTAGTATATCACATTGGAAAAAAATTAGGCTAGACCATCGAGCTGCGAATTTCTTAGATAGAGTTGCTTTTCTAAATAAAATCTGTATGTTTTTAATGTCAAAAGATTGTCATTAACTATCTCAGAAAACAGGTCTGAAAGAAGCATATTATCCATTTGTTGAACTTTTATTATTTTATTTTATTGTAAGTATACTGACAAGAAAGCCAGCTTGGTGCATTGATTAAAACACCAACCTAAAAACTGGGAGACTGAAATTGTAGCCTTATGCATGAAGCCAACTGGGTGACACTGGGCCAGTCCCTCTCTGTCAGCAACATCAAGCAACTTCCAAAAATCTTGCTATGAAAACTGCAAGAACTATTTCAGGCCATCATATGGACTCAACACTGATTTGATGGTACAAAAAATAAGTATACTGGTAAACTGGGACACCATTACAAGATGCGCAGTTATTGTTATTTATTACTTCTCTGAAGGCCATTATTACTCACATGCTAAAATGTTGATGTATCTGTTTTTGTGCTTGTTGTCGGGGTGATTGGAATGTTCAGCGGTGATGTTCATGTCAGATGTACAACGCTGCACTTCCTGTTAAGAAAACAAATTGAAAGAGCAGATAAGTGCCAAACATTTTATTTGTCTCATTTTGCAAACAGTTCACTCAGAACATATTGAAATGCTGGGAGATCGTTGATTCCCCCCCCCCCATGAGTATCCTTTCAGCAAAATGCAATGTAAACACATTCCAGCAAGTTTTATGAAGAATATTTTCTAGTTCCAAGTATCTGATGAAATCTACAGTGATTAAAATTCAGTCTAGTGTAAAATCCCGGGCATAGTTGTACATGTAACTATTTCTCTCCTAACAACACCCTGAAAATAACTATAAGCCTTTTTTGTGGCTAATCAGTTGTAAGGGACAAATATGAAACAGTACAAAACACTATTAAATAAAAAGATGGACTGAACCAGATTTGTATCTCAGAAATATATATATATTTAGATTAAAAATATAATGGCTATTCCATAGAGTTAAAAAAAGATCAAGTGACTACAAAGAATATATATATATACATTATATACTCATCATGCTATTTCCTTTTGTGTTAAGGTTATAAAAAGGAAAAGAGTACGTAGTAGCAATGAAAAATAAAATAGAATATAAAGAAAAAAGACAAGGAAATCTAAGTAGATCTACTTTATACCAATATGATTCACTATACCAATCCATATTGTTTAATCTTTACAATCCATTCTTGTTTTTACTATATCCATATACTGTTTCATATACCACTTTTGGTTCTTTTAACCGTATCTTTCACTTTCTGAAACTCTCCTACTACACCTTGTTTTTCCTTTTTCTCTCAACTCTTATACTGTAATTAAATTCTCATTCTCTCTATATAGCCAAATTACCTCAGCGGACATCTTTTGTATAGGTACCTTCCACATTTATTCAGTACCCAATCATTTTGACTCTTGAATTTGTCTTATTATCCAGTTCGTTTGTCCCTGTTTATATAATCCATTCTCTTCTAACACACAGTTCATACATAACCAATTTCCATATAACAACTATATACTCTTCCACGCAGCTGTTTTTGTTTCTTTTGAATGATGTTCATTACTTGCAACAGAACATATATTATCTGCCAGCTTTCTACTAGCATTTCATATCTTGAACTTTCTGCATCCATTTTTATGTCCATAAGAAACACTCTATCAAGATATACACATTCACCTGCATACTCTATTTTTTCATTATTTCTATATAATTCATAGTCATTCACTCAATTCTATCAAACAAAGAAGAGGGAATCAAGCTATTCTCCAAAGCAGCTGAAGGCAGGACAAGAAGCAATGGGTGGAAACTAATCAAGGAGAGAAGCAACCTAGAACTAAGGAGAAACTTCCTGATGGTTAGAGCAATTAAATCAGTGGAACAACCTGCCTCCAGAAGCTGTGAATGCTCCAACACTGGAAGTTTTTAAGAAGAGACTGGACAGCCATTTATCTGAAATGATAGAGGGTTTCCTGCCTGAGCAGTGGGTTGAACTAGATGACCTCCAAGGTCCCTCCCAACTTTATTATTATTATTATTATTAAACCCATCTACTTTTATTTTTACTACATTACAATTGAGATTCATGGTTTTTCATGCAATCTAATATTTGCTCCAAATCATTCAGATGTCATCTACATAGGGTATGTGTGTGTACGTATGTGTGTATGTTTCTAGCACCTATCGATCATCCATCCATCCATCCATCCATCCATCCATCCATAGATAGGTCTGCCTATCTATCTATCTATGTATCTGTCTGTCTGTCTGTCTATTAACATCTAATCATTTATTATCTATTTCTTCATATCTATAACACATATCTAATATCTTCACAAGTGTTTATACACTTGCTCATAGATTCCATCACACTTGTTTTACTCCCTGCTCACTGTTGATTACTAAGCATTCCATCTATCTTTTCTTTTGTTAAGATCCATAGTAACAAAACTTGTTGCAACCTAGTGATTCTCTAGAGGCTTAGCAGCCATGGTTAAGAATCTTCCTTTAGTGGAGGGCAATTTTACAAACTCCTCTTTTGGAATTCCTTTCTTGATAATAACACAGGTTTCCGTCACAACTGATCTACACCTTGCCAAGACACAGTGTGGCCAAACTGTTCAGTGTATATAAAATACAACAGACTTGGTGTTTTTTTAAAGAAGATATTTCCTTTGACAAAATAGTATTGTCTTCCATCCTGTTATAAGACTTTCTGCCCAATGTTACAAAGACCATGAAGAAAGATAGCTTGTTGCTTATCTGTAAATACACAAATTTCAGTAGTCATTGTGCATTCACACAGCTATACAACTTTCTCGCAAGAGGCAGTACTTTGACACAATCATATAGTTGGAAGGAGTCCATTTTGGTCTCTGAATCCAATTACTTACCCAGAGTCACAATCTAAATTAAAGCATTTTAAGCAGATAGCTGACCTTTGAATACATCCAAAGTAGGGGAGCCTATGACTTGACTAATTGGTTCCCCTATTATAATGCTGCCAGTGTTAGGAAGTTGTTTTCTATCTTTCAATTGTAATTTGCTTTCCTATAACATAATATTCTGTATCCTGCAGTCTGGAATCTCTTTCTCTGTGATGCCCTTCGAAGAATTTGAACAGGGGGAGCATATCTCAGTCATCTTTTCTCAAACCTCAAATACATAATTTCTTCAATCTCTTGTCAAAACATTTTGTGTTTTAGTTCTAGTAATAATTAATTAGCAGAGTAACTCTATGTGATAAAAAAATAAGTCTGAAAATCACTATGGTACAGGGAACTAAGATGACAAGAATTTCATTAGTGACATTGCCTGCATGACATATTTATGTCACATCTTAAATTTTTTGCACAGTCAAAGCTGACTTGGGAATCCTTAGCTGCAAGGCCACAACAAAAATCTGCTAAGGAATGCAGACCATAGAAGCTGGGACTCTGAAATGGCCAAAGTCCCACTAATTCCATTCAAAGAGAGAGGAAAGATCTCTTCATCCATCTGCCCATCTTGTGTTCATCCTGTATCCAAGTGCTTTATTTTATAGTCAGATGCAATGATTTCCATTTTTCTGATCAGCTTTGTATGGAGTATGCATGTGTGTATTGTGAAAATTTGTTTTGCTATGTTTAATTTTGTTAAATAATACCAGATTCCCTTATCCATTGTAGACTAGGGTTGCCCTCAGACACAGTTTAAATCCCATGATTTAAACTGAGAAATGGGCAGCAAATAAACTTAATCATAAAATTTTAAACGTTGTATGAATTTGGATATCTAGGGGAGGAGTGTGGCATGCATATACCTACAGGTAGCAAGAAAAGTGTGATTGTTAAGAAATAGGACAGCTCACATGAATACCTAAATGTATGACAGCTCCTGGATCTGTGGAGTATTATGAGGGCCATCTGGTATCCTCTTTCCCCTCCAGGTTACAAAGATGCCTACAGATATCTTAATTTTTATAAGTAGCAAAACTTCAAAATAAGGGAAGTCATTAGTACAGCACAGCTGCTGCAAAGAACAATCAGAGCTAATTGCCAGAAGGAATTACCAAGAGAAATGTTACTAATATCAACCTTAAAATGGAATTCAGGATTATATAGTAATGTTACAAAGGACTGCCTTGCAATTCACAGTCACTGCTGCCCTCTAGTGCAAAGTATTCACCTATCTTCACTATTTCTAACCCAGTGGAACAAGGGGAAAGAAATTATGGCTGCAAGATTAGGACTCGGTTTTTTCTATCTGTCTACCCATCAGTAGGATGACACTTAACAACAACAACAACAACAACAACAACAACCATCATCATCATCATCATATCAATGGCACAATGGAAGACACAGTTGCAGATCAATGGTGAGAGACTGGGAGAGGTTAATATCAAGAGAGGAATATTACTGATTGTGATACAAAGGAGGTTATATTGATGTTAAATTTGATTACAGCCGCGAGGCTGTTAGTAGGACAATATTGGAAGAAGGAATCTTTGCCTACATTGCAGGAATGGTTTCTTAAAGTGTCTTATTTGGCGGAAATGGCAAAGATTTCGGCTTTTTTAAAGGAACAAACGCAAGAGAAATTTCTTGCTGTTTGGGATAAATGGATAAAATTTATACAATTTAAACTGAATATAAAAAAATATTATATAGCCTTTTCATAATCTTTATTTTTATATATATACATATATATTTTAATGTTATATTTTCTTTTTTTTTTACAAATATAATTTTTTAATTGTTTTTTAATTAAGCCTATATTCTGCTCTGGGAAGCTCGGGGGGGGGAAGGGGGGGGTGTTTGGGTGGGGGTTGGGGAAGGGGGGTTTTGTTGTGTAATGTTTAGTTTTTTTTTGTATATGTTGTTTTTTGTTTTTGTATTGTTTTGTTCTTTTTGTAAAACTTATAAAACTTTTTAATAAAAAAAAAAGAGAGGAATATTTCAAGGAGATTCATTATCACCATTACTATTTGTTATTGCACTGTTTCCTCTGTCAACAATACTCAGGACATGGCTATCAAACATCAAAAACATCTGCCAGACTATCCCACCTCCTTTACATGGATGATCTGAAGCTGTATGGAAAAACATCATCTGAAATAGAATCGCTGCTCAATACTGTCCGTATATATAGCCAAGATATTGCAATGGAGTTTGGCTTGGACAAATGTACCACACTTACTATCAAACAAGGAAAAATAGTGAAAACTGAAGGAATCAAGATGCCCCACTAAAATAACATTAAGAGTCTGGATGAGGAAGAATACTACAAATACTTGGGTATCCTTCAAGCTGACAACATCAAGCACACTGAAGTCAAGAAAAAGATTAGAGGTGAATACATCAAGAGAGTGAAGAAGATCTTAAAATCCAAACTCAATGGAGGAAATACCATAAAGGCAATCAGCACCTGGGCAATTCCAGTCATTAGATACACCGCTGGAATGGTGGACTGGACTATCCCAGGTCCTTGGTAAGGACTAGATAGGTAGACAAAATGCCAAATCCAGTCTGAACATCTGGCTGAC